TGTGTGTGTGTGTGTGTGTGTGTGTGTGTGTGTGTGTGTGTGTGTGTATATGTGTGTATATATATATATGTGTGTGTACACACACACACACACACACACACACACACACACACAAATATCTCGTGTGTGTGTGTGTATATATATATATAGAGAGAGAGAGAGAGAGAAATATGTGTGTTTGTGTGTATATATAGGGGTGTGTGTGTATATATATATTTAAAAAATAAATAAATATAAAAATATAAATAAATATAAACTGTGTAATCCCAGTTGTTGGCATAATTTATTTCTGGACAGATTGCCATGGTTTTGGTATACTTATCAGATCCTACCTCTGAAACTTATCATGTAGCCAAGACAAACACTTTAATTTTAATGCAGATAATGCATTTTTCTATAACCAAGGCTTATGTAATTCATGACCGTTCACTCAAAGCTTTTTAAAAAGGGCACTCACTTAGAACAAGCGGGCATTAGAACTATATTAGCAAATGGATATGCACAGTTACTGCTTTATTGCTTTTAAATTCCTGTTGGGATTATCTACTGAAGTGTTGTTAAACCAGCTAATCCATAGGAAATAACCTCTCCAGTTTAGTCACGTGTGTCTATTTATATTGATTATACTAAAAGGAAACACTTTAATAGGGCTGCTCAATATCAGAACTTAAAATTGGAAGTGAGATCACCACTTTCATGTATGTCACACAGTCGTCTCTCTGATTCATGGTTTTCTTCCTGAACACTTACTTACTCCTTTTGAACCCATCAGTTAGCCAAAATTCAGGGCTTGTCTACACAACTGGCCGGATCGACGGACAGCGATCGATCCAGCGGGGGTTGATTTATCATGTCTAGTATAGATGCAATAAATCGACCGCCATTCACTCTAGCGTCTACTCCGGTACTCCACCTCAACGGGATGCGCTAGGGGAATCCACGGGAGAGCGTCTCCTGTCGACACACCGCAGTAAAGACAACTCGATAAGTAGATCTAAGTACGTCGACTTCAGCTACATTATTTACATAGCTGAAGTTGCGTAACTTGGATCGATTCTCCCCCTCCCACTCCCCGCCATTGTAGATGATAGCCCTCAGGGTCTATCAGGTTGTTTCCATTAGTGGGAGAAACTGATGATGAGTCAGGAATTTAAGTACAGTCATCTCTATTTACAAATTTCAGAGTTGCGGCCTTGTTAGTCTGTATCCGCAAAAAGAACAGAGAGTACTTGTGGCACCTTAGAGACTAACAAATTTATTAGAGCATAAGCTTTCGTGGGCTACAGCCCACTTCTTCAGATGCATAGAATGGAACATATATTGAGGAGATATATATACACACATACATGAACAGGTGGGAGTTGTCTTACCAACTCTGAGAGGCCAATTAAGTAAGAGAAAAAAACTTTTGAAGTGATAATCAAGATAGCCCAGTACAGACAGTTTGATAAGAAGTGTGAGAATACTTACAAGGGGAGATAGATTCAATGTTTGTAATGGCTCAGCCATTCCCAGTCCTTATTCAAGCCTAAGTTGATTGTATCTAGTTTGCATATCAATTCCAGCTCAGCAGTCTCTCGTTGGAGTCTGTTTTTGAAGCTTTTCTGTTGTAAAATAGCCACCCGCAGGTCTGTCATATACCACCCTATACCGGAAACCTACTGACTGCTATACTTCCCTACATGCCTCCAGCTTCCATCCAGGACACACCACACGATCCATTGTCTACAGCAGGGGTCGGCAACGTTTGGCACGTGGCTCGCCAGGCTAAGCACCCTGGCGGGCCGGGCCAGTTTATTTACCTGCTGACGCGGCAGGTTCGGCCGATCGCGGCCCCCACTGGCCGCGGTTCGCCGTCCCGGGCCAATGGGGGCGGCGGGAAGTGGTGCGGGCGAGGGATGTGCTGGCCGTGGCTTCCCGCCGCCCCCATTGGTCCGGGACGGCGAACCGCGGCCAGTGGGGGCCTCGATCTGCCGAACCTGCCGCGTCAGCAGGTAAATAAACTGGCCCGGCCTGCCAGGGTACTTACCCTGGCGAGCCGCGTGCCAAACGTTGCCGACCCCTGGTCTACAGCCAAGCTCTAAGTTACAACCGCATTTGCTCCAATCCCTCATTCAGAGACAAGCACCTACAAGATCTCTATCAAGCATTCTTAAAACTACAATACCCACCTGCTGAAGTGAAAAAACAGATTGACCGAGCCAGACGAGTACCCAGAAGTCACCTCCTACAAGACAGGCCCAACAAGGAAAATAACAGAACACCACTAGCTGTCACCTTCAGCCCCCAACTAATACCTCTCCAGCGCATCATCAAAGATCTACAACCTATCCTGAAAGATGATCCCTCACTCTCACAGATCTTGGGAGACAGACCTGTCCTCGCTTACAGACAACCCCCCAACCTGAAGCAAATACTCACCAGCAATCACACATCACTGAACAAAAACACTGACCCAGGAACCTATCCTTGCAACAAAGCCCGATACCAACGCTGTCCACATATCTATTCAAGTGACATCATCATAGGACTTATTCACATCAGCCATACCATCAGGGGCTCGTTCACCTGCACATCTACCAATGTGATATGTGCCAGCAACGCCCCTCTGCCATGTACATTGGCCAAACTGGACAGTCTCTACGCAAAAGAATTAATGGACACAAATCTGACATCAGGAATCCTAATACTCAAAAACCAGTGGGAGAACACTTTAACCTGTCTGGTCATTCAATGACAGACCTGCGGGTGGCTATTTTACAACAGAAAAGCTTCAAAAACAGACTCCGACGAGAGACTGCTGAGCTGGAATTGATATGCAAACTAGATACAATCAACTTAGGCTTGAATAAGGACTGGGAATGGCTGAGCCATTACAAACATTGAATCTATCTCCCTTTGTAAGTATTCTCACACTTCTTATCAAACTGTCTGTACTGGGCTATCTTGATTATCACTTCAAAAGTTTTTTTCTCTTACTTAATTGGCCTCTCAGAGTTGGTAAGACAACTCCCACCTGTTCATGCTCTCTGTATGTGTGTGTGTGTGTATATATATATATCTCCCCAATATATGTTCCATTCTATGCATCCGAAGAAGTGGGCTGTAGCCCACGAAAGCTTATGCTCTAATAAATTGATTAGTCTCTAAGGTGCCACAAGTACTCCTGTTCTATTTACAAAGATTGTAGAAAGTCCTGTTTCCCTTAACACAGGAGGAGTTAAATGCATAAGTCAGTTTCTTTCCTCACAGTTCCAAGCCTCTTTCCAGCCAGCACACACTCCAAAAATTCTCTCAAATTTTTCTCAAGGCCATGCAACATGTCTTCCTCTCAGCTGTTTTAGGCACTTCCCTTTTGCCTTCTCTCTGTTTCTGTGCAGTTTCTGTAGCGTGTCTCATTTGGAGGACAGGGCTCGGAGGTGGGGCTGGGGGCGGCATAGCCGTGCCGGAGGAGCTGCCGATGTTCTGCTCCCTTCCCCGCTGTGGTTCCTGGAAGAGCCGTGAACCGCAGGGCTCTCCCAGGAGCTGCAGCGGGGAAAGGAGCAGAACGTGGGGCCACTGGGCGGCCCCACGCTGGTAACTCCTCCCTTTGCCCACTAGCTTCAATTAGGTTCCACCCAAACCCAATCATAAGTGTACACACTAACTCAAACTTCAATGTACTTACAATACATTGTGATTTTTAGTAAGTACTATAGCTATCAGAGAGAATAACCATTTTAGCTAAGTTTTAGCTTTATCTAACCTACCCAGCAAATCCTAAAATTTTCCCATTCATTCAGTTCTTGCAAGAGTCTCTAGAGGAAGTGTACATTGAACAATAAGAGATCCTAAATATTAAAACTTTCCATAAAGGGTAATGCTCTGCTCTCAATCAGAGTGACAAGGTGGGTGAGGTAATATCTTTGGACTAAATCTGTTGTTTAATATTACTGTAGTTAAAGTCCTTCTTGGGGACTTTGGTGCATTAATTTGGAAACCAGACAACACCCTTTAACTTTTTTCAGGTTTGATGAAATACAAATACAATCACTTTTTATTTGACATTTGCTTTTTCAAGTGTCCCTGACTCTAGTACCCTGTAACATTAGCAGATAGTAGTAGAAATAATATGTAGTAGCTTTTTTTCTTTAATTCTTGAAATTGTAATGTTTCAGTAATTTTTAAAATGTTGGAATCAAATGACACTTTAAAACATCATGTAAAATAAACTAACGCATAAATACACATCAAATAGATAACCTATGCATACCAACTGCCTTATAAGGAAATGTAAAAATATCCTTATTTTAATATGGAAATCTGTTCAAAATTTTATCCTTATGACTTCAAATATCTTAATACATTTGCCTTTTAACAATGTTTGCTACCCACTTTCTTTCACTTGGCAACCACAGACTAGATACTACTTGTTGTAGCTGCAAGAACTTCTGCAAGACTGCCCCCTTGTGACACTGCATTATGTCCAACAGGCACTGAAAAGTTACACAGGTTACCCAGATTTGTGACTAACTTGAGAGACTATCATTTTTAATTTGTTCTGTGCTTTCCGTATTTTTGAAGAATTGCACTTTGTGCAGAGCTACAGCATCAAATCCACTGGAAAAATTTGTCCCAAATGCTTAGGGTATTGTGTAAGAATGCAATTACTATTTACATGCATTCTCCATCAGGCTTAAGAAATTGAGAACCATATATTCTATATTTTCCGTTCCTTTTACACTCTTTCAATCCTAGCTGAATCTCCTCTGCAACCTCACCTATTTAGGGTGAGCATGATTGTTGTTTTATCTAAAACCTTGAATACAAGAAAAGACCCCAAATTCTGTGTCACTCTAATTGCACCCAGTTACAAATGGAGAAAAGTCTGTTGCTCAAGGTCGTCCAGGAAGTCCATGGTACAGCTAGGAAGAGATGGCTGATCTCAACAGTTTATGCACAAGACCATTTTGCCCCGTTCTCTGTTGTTGTACTGGCCATATCCTTTTGCACAGACAGCGCAGTCTATTTCTCCATTACCTTTCACTTTAACTGTGTGACTGTTCAAATTCTTTGTTTCACAAAGCCCTTTGTAAGGTGAGTAAACTAATCATTTGACAAAAGCAAGCTTTACAAAGTGTCTAGAGCAGGTAGGTTCTTTTTAAAATACTGTACCACAATAATGTTTCTCTTAGAAAGGGGGTGGGGGAAGTACTCCTCCAGTAAGAAAAAACCCTACTTCTCCTCCATAGTACATAAGTATGCTACATCAATAGATCAGACAACCCCACCCCCAAATAAAGCAGTAGACACCACAGTGCTCTCTCCAAGAGCTCCACTTTATAAATAAATTGACATATACATACAAACTGCACAAAGTAAATGAGTTACCTAGACTTGAAAGGAAATGCTAGCACTGTTTCTCATAATGAGATCACCAAAACAGGCAGCACAACTATGAGGATAACAGCATGCTAAACAATCAGCAATATATCATACCTGTTTTACCATTATGCTGGAGACAATTGTGTAGACTGGTGATTTCAACCTTTTTTCAATTTTGGACCCCTAAAAAATTTTGAATGGAGGTGTGGACCCCTTTGGAAATCTTAGACTTAGGCCCCCAGGGGTTTGCAGACCATAGGTTGAAAATCATCGGCGTAGACTGAGTGAGTACTTTGCACTAGAAGGGCCAATAAGGGGTTCTTAGTTTTGTGAAGATGCTTTGTCATATCTTAGATTTTTCATAACCTATTAATAGTGATTGGGGGAGTGATGAAAGATGTCACATAGGGGCTCAGTTAACAATAAGACAAATGTTTTGTACAATTCTTAACCACTTTTGATAGTTGTATGGAAAGATGAGTTTCTTCTTTCTCTGTGATGCTAAAAGAGAACTTGTACGTGCCCAGATTGAAGATCAAGAGGAATCTTGCTTATTCTCTGAGTAGTTTGTGTCTGTTTGCCACATTTGACAAATGTCCTTTGTTTCAGGTGTTCTTCCAAAAATAATCTAATGGCTCTTGTACTTAAACAAGCAGGATGTTAGCAAGAGCTAACCTCTTGGGAAAAGACTGTTGCACTCATTTTCTTTCCAGGGAGAGGGTTCTTCCTAAAATCTCATCATTTGACCTAGGTAAATGTCTAGCCTGACTAGCTAATTCTCATATCACTTCATTCCTAGGTGTGGTCTCTAATACAGGAGTTCTCAGCCAGAATTGAGGGATCAGACTCTTAGGGTATGGCTACATCCGAGTTGGCGGTGTGATTGGTATGCCAGCCTGTGCTGCAGTGCTTGCTTTAATCTAGCTACAATGGCCAAAAATAGCAGTGAAGACGCAGTAGAACAGGCTTCAGTGTGAGCTAGCAACATGAGTACATACTTAAGGTTCCCATTGTGCCTGTACGGCCCACACTGAAACCTGTGCTCCTGTGTCTTCACGGCTATTTTTACTTGTACTAGCTAGATTAAAGCTAGTGTGCATATGCCAGCCCATTCTGCAATCTCACCTTGGACTGAGTTACAGTTATGGGAACTAACCTGTCAGATGTAATACTAGTTTCTTTTTTAAATAGTCTATTTGATATTGCTTGCAAGCTAAGTGAATTTTCACTTTAACGTACCATGTCAACATCTACCTGACATAAATAGGTCTACAAATTTGAAAAAAAAATGCACGAATTGTCTCTATTTTTATCTTAACTTGCTTGATAAACTTCCAGTAGAAAGTCATCAAATACTAAATCAGTCAAAAGATGTATTATGGTACTTTGAAACCTTGTATTTCACCACAAATTATAAATGCCAGCTCTCATTTTAAATACTTTTATTAGTGCACACCTGTGCTCCTATCTAAACTGAATTAATATCTAGCTATGGGAAACTACAAATTTAAACTGTACAGTGGCATAAAAAGGAAATTTTCCTCAAAAACATCACTAGAAAGTTAATTTGACAGAACTGAAGTTTTTCAATTTGCAATAGCATCCAGGTTGGTAATATTTTAAGTTTAATTAAAAAATTAAAGTAGAGTTCAAAAAATTTCCTATCATCTTATATTTCTTTGTAAGGAAAAGACTGATGTCAGAGACGACAGTGAAGATTGGAGAAAATTGATCCTTGAAACAGAAGAAGCTATTTCTCTTAACAAGAAGGATAACACCATTCAGCATGTAGAAGATGTCTGTTATGCTAGGTAAGTATTAGTATGGAAGATATATAAACAAAATTCCTTGGTATAGCTTTTTATATTGTGAATGATTAATTACATTGTGATCTCAGTATAAGTGATTTTTTTCTCTCTTTCATCTATATCCTTTTGGGTTAATGAAAAAACTAAGTATTATAAATTGCTCTCCAAAAGTTCCATACTTAAGTCTCCTGTACTTAGTTGAAGCTGGCTGATCCTTTACTGGCTTCGCTTCAGATTTGATGTAATAAACATGTTGGACAACTTAGTGAATAAAAGGCTAATAGTTCATTTCTGATTGGAAACCAGCAATAAGGTGTGTTTAGAGGTGCTCACCATCTGTGAACTACTATATTTATGTATTGTACTTTACCTGAATGCAGACCAAGAAGATGCAAAGATGCCGTAGAGAATATCTTGACGCTTTTAAAATCTCTCTTTTCATGGCAGTTGTAAATAGAAGAACATGGGTAAAATGAATGTGTCCAAACAGTACTTCAGTAATATAATTAACATTGATACAAAAATTGCAAGAGTGATAACCAATTTCAGTTCTTAACAATTCAGACAATAAACAAATTTTAAGATTAGCATGATATTTTAGATTGAATTGTCATGAATGAAGGGTCCCTTTTAATGTAGGGTAAATTCAGCTAAGCATTCTTGTGGTTTATCTACTTTGAATTTGGGAGCCTAATGTAAGTATCAGAAACCAGTCCATATGTACCTTTTAAATACTGGTTCAGCACTGAAAGGTGATAAAATGTTTAACAGGGTATTGTGTAGGATATTCAAAAGTTGAGGTTCGCACACTAGGTTATGATGCAGATAAAATGTAAAGGTTCCATTTGTCTTTTAAAATTACTGTGACTAATCCCAGTTATATAATCACTGCCATAACTTTATCATAATAAATGTTCAAAACTAGTACTGAAGTAGGATTAAAAGTTTTAATCTCTCTCAGATATAACTAATTGCCAAAGAGGTTGCGTGCTGAAAAATGGCTCTGACCAACAGCAGACTCAAAAATGGGTTAATTAAAAATGTTTTCAAATATTTCACAATTTGTACAAGAGAGTCTTAATCTGAACTTCCAGATTAGTTCTAGTTTTCTTTTAAGCATCTAACTAAGTCTAGGTCATTTAATAACACAATGTTTGCTCCTCTTTCTGCCTCCAAATAGAGCTGGTAGTTGGATAAAAATAGCAAAGAAAAAGTTTGCCTAAACAACTTTAAACTTTTTTTGAGAGAGTTGATCATGGTACTTCTGACAGCTTACATGTTCTGTCTGGATTTTGTTGTTGTTTCTTAACTTTATAACGCCTATGAAGTAACCATTAAACATTTATTTTGAAAGAATAAACAGCTGGGTAGCAGTATAATATATACTGTGCAAATTTGAAATGAATGGCCCCAGAACAAAGTGCATCCATCAAAGGAAAAGAATACTGTTTCTGCAACAAGCTGTATTGAAAAAAGGAAAATGGCTGAAAAATAAATAGTGAACACCTGTGCTGAATAAATTAACCAGCTGGTTGGCAATTTTTCATTTGACCTATCTGAAGGGGTGGCTGTTACAAGGCATTAATAAGACACATTCACTTTGAGATATTCCTTTGTTACTACCATTAATTGATGAATGGTGGTAGATAATATTCAAAATTTACACAACAATTTGCCAGCAGATGTATCCTTTTTGTGAATTAGTAGAAAATTGTCTGCCCAAAGGTTTAATTTGAGTGATTTTTCTTTTTTTATAGACACAGTTGTTACATTATTCAGGGATGGTTATTCCTATAGGAAAGATGTCATGAGTTCGGTTTTATATGAAGGGGCTGGGCTTTTATTATAAAATGAGTAGACCTGAAAATCATACAAATTGAGAGGTTCATTAAGGGAGAATTGAATAGATTTTAAAATACGTTAGTACAGTGAAACTTCCTTATATAGTGGAAGCTTGATAAAGTAAACTTCCATTTAGAGTGAGGTAGAATGCTTTGCAAAGTCCAAATTGAACTCGGGTTATAATGAATTTTTGCTTAAAGTGAAATAGTTCTGTGACTTCAACTTGAGGCTTCCACAACATCTGCATGTTGACAGAGCAGAACTTCATATGTAAGGATACAGCTAGGATGAAGTAAGACCTTCATTTTAATGTTTAAATAAATATTTATAGCATATACATTAAGTTTACACAAACATGATATCCTGTTACACAAATAAATATCTCAACAATATTGAATTGATTTCTAGCAATACAAGTTAGCTGAGATGAATTTTAAAAATATTTTCTAAGGAAAAAAGTTGTCATACTGTATCATTTAAGATATTGTAGCTAGACATTTAACACTATATAGAGAAAACAGAATATTGTATAAAAAGTTAACGTAAATCAAAATAAAAATGACACTTGCAGCAAAATCATGATCATTTCAGCTTTTTTGTGTGAACACTTATGTGTGAATTATTTTCATTTGACTGTTCTAGTATAAGTGTATGTATAAATATTTATGTATATTGTATGTTTATGATGGATTCTGAATATATAATGATATGGTATAAAAGTTTTATTGACATAGGTTGAGAATAGCTGCATTGCTTGTGTGCACTAGAGCCATATGTGACTTTTACAAATGGACCAGAATGAGTGCCTTTCTACCAAACCATACTGGTGTTTATTATGCCCCATTTAATAGAAAAACTATTACAAAATTTGGGGAGTTTCCAATGTGATTAGCTGTTGTTTTTACCACTCAAAATCACGTGTCAGGAGAGATGCGACCACATGTAACCATGCCAGCTCCTCTGCCCGCTGCTTCCTTGCAGTAACCTTTTCTTCCCAATCCAGAATGGTTTGGGGAAGAGCTTATAAGCCATCCCCTTACGTATGCAGGAGCCAGTAGGTTTACGCTGCACTTCTGTACAACCAATCAGACACAGAACCCTCCTCAAGCCTGTAGGATGGGGTGTTGCAATCCTTAAAAGGGTCTAGGGTTTTCTTCCAATGCTGACTCTGACAAAGTGCCCCCCACCTCTGAGGAAAGAGTTGCATTTTGGTAACTGTGCTGAATACCCCTTGCAATTAAGAGAATTTTTTATTTATATATATAAACTGGAATTATAAACTGTACCCTTGCAGATCACCTTTAAAATCACAGTTCATTAGTTTTCAGCTGAGCTTAAAATGTTTATTCAGGGCCTTAATGGCTTGTGGTAGAAAGATAAAAAGATAATGCAAAATTGTTGCTGAATTTCTTTCACTTATAATGACATTGATTTGATTCATCTCCCTTGGTAGCATAAACTAAAATTTCAAGTTCAAAAGTATTAGTTGCTGAGGTAGACTTCATTGAAGTCCAAGATAAAAAAGACAGATGAGATTAAATGTGGAGTTCTGCTTTATAAGGGGAATTTTAAAGAATTTTTTCATTATGAAAATGAGGAAGACTGAGCAAAATACTTGCTACTTAGGGTGACCTCCCTTCTCTGACCAGGTGGCCTTTACTGTAGGCATATTACAGATTAATCGGAACTGTACAAAGACATGCCTTCATTATAATATTTTACTTAAGCTTATTTCCTGATGATTAGATACAACCTAAGTTTAATGGCGTTCTGGGTGCCTGTTTGTATTTGGTTAACAAGTGAACTATACTGCTTAAAAAAAAAAAAAGTTTTTGATACTTGAGGAGACTGGCCATTTCCCATGTTCCTATCACCTGAGTGGCTAATTTCCAGGGTTTTGTTAAGGAGATGTTGAGGAAGAAGAATCTATGGCTGCTGGGAGGCAGGGACAGGTTGGGAGTCTGCTTGTGGTGAGTCCTACTTAGTCATGCTTCTTCTCTGCCAGGAACCTTTCTGTTGCTGCTCACTGGTGTTCTTAGTGAGTCTCTCCTATTCTGTTTCTAGGTCCCACCTTATCCTCAACCCATAAAGTAGTAGTGAGCAGAATGGGCTTGCAGCAGGAGCCAGGAGCATGGTGGGTTAGACCCAATGTTAGCAGTAGCCAACAGCTGAAAGCAGGGAGGCTGGGAGAATGAGGCTCTATGCCTACTCGGACAAGTGGTGGCCCTTCAGAAGATAAAAGCACGCGCTAACGGGGAGAAAACTCATGTGGAGGTGGGGATGAGCCACATTTTGTAGGAAGTATGGGGGCCCAAGGTATGCATGGTACTGATACGAAGCAAGAGTAGAACTTTTCCTTGGGCTTTCCCTAGGTTTACAGAATACACATATCCTGAAAATGACATTGTTCTATGGGTCACACATGGTTATTAATGGGTTAATAAATTATTAATAGATGTTATAAATGTGTTACACAAGTAGTGATGGTTATAAGCACATCAAAAACGGTAATAGATTATAAATCATGATTACAAGGTATTTATTGGATTCCATAAGAATCTGACAATTAACTATTTATTCATTAATCCTTTATATTAGTCTCATTTATAAATTATTTATAAAGTGACTGAATTGTACATACTTAAGTCCTGAATACAGAAATCTGAACCACGTGGGTCTTCAGTGAGACTCCACACTGGAATAAGGGCTGATTTACATAGATCAGATTGCAGGATTAAGGCCAAAAAATATACTGAAAGCTCTTATGTGCCAAAACTTTAGTTCACAATTTTGTATTTCTCCTGAAGAATTGATAGAATCGGTCATAATATTCCTACTCAGATCAAGTATGCCTTATTCTGAGAGTAGTCCCTTTGTCTTAAATTACTTTGATTTTCAAATATCTTCAGTGACTTAGGCTTTCCAACAGGTTTTTGTATCCATATAAAAACATTTCAAATTACCTTTTAGTATCTGTTTATTTTTAATATCACACTCCTTGTTGTTGTTCTATTTTGGGAACTAACATCTGCTGCATTGTTTATCACATTGAGAGTTTTAAGAGTTACTTGTTCTGTTAATTTGCCCGGTCTCTCTTGTTTTTTTTTATGCAAAATAAGAATACAGATATGGAGTCTGCAGGTCTACTATTTGATATATTAAAGT